CCCCAAAACCCCAAAACCCCAAAACCCCAAAACCCCAAAACCCCAAAACCCCTTGTTCTACAGGCTGAATTGAAGATGTATAATTGTATGAATTTTGCTAGATTCTTGTATGGGAGATAATCCTGTTAAGCCTTTTCTTACTGATCCCTCGTGCAAAACTAGAGCTTGCCATAGAAGCCTTTGTAGTAGTCGACCACTGGCTCACGCTCTCTCTTGAATTTTCTGGAGTGTCAATTTCATTACTTACTTAAAAAGTTCCTTTGGTGGGATCTAACCAACCTCCTGATCTTATTTATAGCTGTATAATCTGGTGAATTTTCTTCATGCATATATCTTGGTTTTAATGGCTTCTGGCCTTGCTTCAGAGATAGCTTCAAGCTCTTGTTAACAGAGAAAGTATGAAGACCTTCATAATTTTGAAATATTTGAGATCACTTTACTATTTTATCCATCAAAATTTTGGAATAGTCTGAATTAGTTTTCCTATTCGGTTTCTTAAATTTTGAAGAAGTTGCTATGAGATTTCCATATGAGGATCTGAGGTTGGAATTTGATGTATGGGAGTAAAAACCTTTATGGGTCATGTAGTTCTTATCATTAGGTATTATGACCTTCGCACAAGATTTTGCTCTTAATTTCTAAAATCATTTAACTTTAAACGTACCTTTCTACGATTTAATATTCCATTCTTGGAGCTTAGAGGGCTTCTGTCTCCATCAAAAATTATTTTATTCCGACTAATCTCCTTTTTGACCTTGAAACTATTGGAGAATTAGATAAAAGCACTCATCAGAAGCAGAATCACTTTTGAGGTTAGGATATTTATCAAAGGAACTTACAAGTTCTTGAATGTAACAGCTCTATCTTTTGCTGTCTTGAGACGTTTTTTGATTTTAGATTCGCTTCTTATCTCAGGTTTGGAGGAGTTATTAGCAAATGTTCAAGAGAACAAACCATCCTTCACCATACTAGTATTTCCGGAGCAGTTGATTTGAAGCTTTATAGGTCTTTCTTCTTTACTGCCAGAAACTTGGTGATTCTTGGCTGAGTTCTGATGAAAAATAGAAACACCTAAATCAAATTCTGTTTTATTTTTCACTTGAATCATCTTCCCAAGTCTTCTATGTTTCTTTTTGTTAACAATAAGTCTCTCCTCAAAGGCTCTCTATAAACTCATGTCAAAATCTCCTCAACCAATAAATATACCAACCTAATCCCTCTATACCCTCAAAATTTGAACAAAATGCATTATTTTTACCTCATTTTTTCATCTAATCCTACTTTCGACTTCAAACTCAATTTCTTCACTTAAATTCTCTTGAATTTCATATACCTCGTACACTTCCTCAACTTTTTGGTTCATCTGTTACCTCTAAGATCGACTATTTAATTTATTTTCTCAATAAACATCTTTACTGCAGGGGTTTTGGGGTTTTGGGGTTTTGGGGTTTTGGGG